TCACATCCTGTCCCCTGGCTAACCTTCCTTCTGCAGGCCCCACATCTACCTGATATTGTCCACCCACCTACACCTTGGTCTTCCCAGTAGTCTCTTTCCTTCTGGCGTTCCCACCAGTATCCTATCACAGTTTTTGAACTGTGTTCAATATCACTTGTCGAGGAAGATGAGGTTGGCGGGGCATGTAATGGGGGAGGCAAGGAATGCATATAGGGTAGTGGTGGGAACGCCAGAAGGAAAGAGATCTGGATGTAAAAGTATGTATTGCAAGAAGCGAAAAAAAGAATTGTAAGGGGGTGGCGAGGGGAGCACTCAAAATAGTTTTTAAGGTAGCATACCTTCTTACCGATTGTACTCTCGGCTCTGGAGGCCATTTTAAATTTAGTTCATATAAACTGAAAATAGATGGCAGCAGCATTGCACCGAGGTGTACTGGTGGCCATGTTGCCAACCAATAACAGGGGAGTTTCACGGGGCTGTTCTAATCTATGACCAATAGCACGGAATGTAGTCGTCTGGTGTCGGAGAGGTCGGAGATGGTTCTCTGCTATGGAAGGAGGAGAGAAAAGTGTAGGGTGTGTTGACTGAGGTGTGTTTATTGTATTCAGTATTGTAGTAACTTTTAGTGATCATAGTTGTCAGAAAGCAGGAGTAAACTTTTATGCATCTGTGTTTACCATAAGTGCACAGGTCGTCAATGCGAAGCGTGAATCCTGCTACTGATGAGTTTGTGATAGTTTGGTTTATGCAGAACACCATGTGAAAAGCAGGTTCTGTGATGTTATTTCATTAAAGGTTTTACATGTATATATTGTTTGTTGTTGGAAGTAACTGACAATGGACTTTCACGTCTGTTGTACTGCTGTTCAAATAACGATCGTCAAACGAACAAAAGATAACGTAATATGTGGTCAGTGTTCACATTCCTGTAAACTGGTTCTTTCTGCCACAGGTTCAGCAGTGGTTACCAGATTGTTAGTAAGGATGTCACATCTGAGGAACTTGAGTGCTAGGCTCCAGAAGTTGAGATCCCTTATGCAAAATGTAAAATATGTGAACGAACCGCTACAGGCGTACATTATTCCATCAGGAGATGCTCATCAGGTGTGTTCGATAAGCAGGAGTAAATATTAAGATAAGAGTATCAATGGATTGATAAGAAGCAAAAAACAATCAGATACGGTTGATCATTAGGCCTGTAGGACATGTTAATTGTTCTGTCAGGGGTTTCCAAAGTGGTTGCAATGAAGGGCCATTTTTAAAATAAGAAATGGTAATTATTCTTATATTAGCTTCCATTAACTGCTTTTCAGAAGCAGTGGTTCCGAAATGTCTTTAAATTCATAAAAAGAGTCCAGTTTCTTCACTATGCAACACTGAGAAAGAATTTCTATGGATGAAACATATTGCAATATTAGTTAAGGGGTGACATTTTTTGAGTAGTTAATAAAGGGGAAAACATATTTGTTTTAAAAGGCTATATAGGACATGTTCTTGGTCCATCGTTAGGAAAAAAACATACAGCAGGAATTGTGTTTGCTTGAAAACTGTTTTTCATCTGCAGTTTTCTGGCTGTGACGGTAGCAAATACACGGAATTTTTAAATATTCTTTGTGTTCTTCAAGTGGCATGTGACACTGTGTAGTCTGGTAGATGGATCTTGTACCCTGAGGGTGGAAGCAGCAGTTTCCTCTGAAGCAAATGAGGAGCAACCCTACTTCATATTTTGCAGGTCCCAGGCCCAAATTCCAGGCTCTCCTGATAGTTCCGTTTGCTTCATTTCTGCTTCCGTTCTTTCCCTGCCAGTTTGGAGATTTGTTTCACACAATACACAGCTTGTGTCCTGAGTTTTACCTGTGTATCCATCACACTCCACAGAATGAGTTTTTGGCAGACTGTGACAACCGACGAGCTTATATTTCCGGCTTCACTGGTTCTGCTGGAACTGCGATCGTCACAGAAAATGGGGCATATATGTGGACGGATGGGCGTTACTTCCTACAGGCTTCTGAAGAAATGGATCAGAACTGGACCCTAATGAGAGAAGGTTAATGACCTAGGTCACTTAATACAAATTGGGGTGCATTTGGTCAGATTTTGGTTGTTAATTAGGGTTGTGCATAAAAGTGTGTTTATGTATAGAATTGACTAGTTTGAATGAGAATTGCTGACAAAGATTCCTTCTTTGGTAGACATTGAATGACTATATCAGGTGAGAAATGATACCAGAAGCTGAAAGCAGAGTTAAGACCAAAATGTAATTCATGATGTTTATGTACTTAATTTGGAGCCAGGATAGTGTAGTTGGTATAGCGACTGGCTACATCCTGGACTGCCAAAGGGTTGGAGTTCAAGTCCTGGTAGGGTAAAGAATTTTCTCTTCTCCACCTCGCCCAGACTGGCTCTGGGACCCACTCATCCTCCTGTCAAATGGGTACCGGGGGCTGTTTTCCTGGAGGTAAAGGGACTGGGGCATGAATCTGACCACTCACCTCCAACTAGAGCCGAGGTCAAGCAGATATGGATCTATCCATCTGCTGCCTCACGCGCCTTAATGGCATAGTACTTAGTTAAATAGGGACAACTTTACCTTACCTTTTATATTAAATTCTAATTAAACAAGATGTGGAAACAGCATTTGTACAATATATACTGTTATGAACTGCTTGAGATACTTTCATATGTTACCATTACAGGCATCCAAAGCACTCCAACACAATCTGCATGGTTGACTAGAACTCTGCCTGCTGGATCTCGAGTTGGTGCGGACCCAAATCTCGTTATGTATAGTACGTGGAAGCCTCTGCAGACAGATCTTGAGGCAGCAGGAATCTTCCTTGTCCCCATCACCACGAACCTCGTAGATCTTATCTGGGACAACAAGCCAGCAGTGCCATGCAACACCATTCACCCACTGTCTGTCAAGTACACAGGTGAATGAAAGATTGGTGCACTAAGTGCAGTTTGCAGACATTTTGTTGGGTTACTCCTTGCTGCCATGTCAGTTTACAGAGTTTGTCATAAAACCATCTACACTCTGCACATTACTGTCTGTCTGCACCAGTGCCTTGGTACTGTTAGATCATCTTATTCATCATAAAAAGAAATTAAACCTTATGTATAACCATATTCCATAAAACTTGCGCCCTGCTGTCTCTAGAAATTGTTACCCCCCACCATTTTGAATCTGATTGCATGAAAAATATTTGTGGTCAGGTGCCGTCTCCAAAAATCCTTGCTACTTGTTAAGGTCCTTTTCCTTTTGAGCTGAGATGCCTGTGTTTCATCTTGTCAGGAACAAATGACAATCTTATGTTCTTTAGAGACAGAATGCTTTTTATTTTTTGATGTAAATGAAAGAAGAGCCAATGTTATGATGCTTCCTGTAACTGCACTGCAACAACAGGGACTTCCTGTCATTTAACACATTGCGGACCTGTGGTTTAAACATTTAAATCACCCTGGGGACCAGCGTTTTTAAACCTACTACCCTAACTTGTGCACTGTTCACTTTAAAAATTAATATAAAATCTCCTAATTAATTTTATGAACTGAAATTTTTGGAGAACACTTACCAGAGCTCCTAGAAGTG